TTTAGTATGCATCTATTTCTTACCAAATGGAGATAAATGTACTTATAAAATGGAGATACTAGTACCTCCTTATAGGATATAGAAAGAGTTGATCACCTAAAGGTATTACAGAGGACTGTGTGCCTAAGCCAATCTCCCTCATGAATATGCTGAAACCCTGACTCTCAGCTTGATGGTTCTAGGAAGTGGAGCCTTTGGGAGGCAATAAGTTCATGAGGGCAGAGCCCTCCTGACAGAAATTAGTGCCCTCATCAATGAGACCCCTGGGAGCCAGCCAACCACTTCTAATATGTGAAGCACAGCAAGAAGACTATGAGCCAGAAGGCAGTCCTCACCAGACACTGACCCTGCAGGCACCTTGACATGGGACTGTCCAGCCTCCAGAACCCTGCAACGTAAATTCCCATTGTTTATAAATTACCCAGTTCATTATATGAAGGTATACAGACTAAAGGAGGCATTGTTCTAAATATTGTCTGGCCCATATAAGGTGGTTTAGAAATATATACTATCATTACTGTCTCATGATTTCATAAACCACACTATTCTATAGCTGTATATTTTTATCACTGCCTTCCCTTCTAACTTTGAGCTCTTTGGGGAGAGGTAGGGTGACCAATTGTTTTAATTTGCCTAGAATTTTCCCAGCTTTAGCACTGAAAGTCCTGCATCTTAGGGACCTCCTCAAACTCAGGCAAACCAAGACAGTTGGTTTTTCTTTTTTTGTTCGTTTGTTTGTCTTTCTTCCAGTCAAACTCAAGACCTTGCACTTGCCGGCAGGTGCTGTGCCACTGAGCTAAATCCCCAGCCCAACAGTTGGTTTTTCTATGTAAGCCCCTACCTTGTTCTCTTGTGGGTTCCTAGGATCTGCTACAGATTATATAAGTCACCGAGATCACCAATAAGTATTTGTTGAACTATAGAATCAACATTATCCTTTCACCTTTTCCCCCTTAAGTGTGTGCTTAAAACTCCAAAAAAAATCAGTCTTCTTCTTCCTATGGAGTCCAAACTGACCTTTTAAAACTTAGTAATGGAAGAAATATATATATATATATATTTAAAGGGCACAGGAACTAAAAGGCTACTTCCACTCTATTCCACTCTGTTGCATGTGACCATTATAGTAGAACTGGCCACCCTTTAGCAATCAAAGGCACACTTGTCATGTTAACAGCAGGTGGAGAATGGAGTGGGTCAAGCTTTCTTTTCGGTCTAGTGACAGGCAGGTGAAGCCTGAAGTTCCACTAGTTTAGATCACAGCCTAAAAACAATGTTGTCCCAGTCAGAAATGTTCCCTTCGCTGAATGTATGTGTCTACCCAGCTGTCAAGAATGGCTAGAACTCCCATTTCCAATACGCTATGTCTTGACACCTGCTTCTGCTTCTCATCCAAACTGGCTCACTTCATTTTATACAGTGTGAATATACTGAGGAAGTCCCACAACCAAGATCCAATGAAACATGGCCTCTGGAAGTGCCAGAATTCATAATGA